TAATTAGTAGATCAATTTAAATTATTTCATAATTTTATTTTTTAAAATATACAATTGCTTTCAAAAGAAAATTTGAAATTTAATTATTAATACGCAATTTCCAGTTTTCACAGTTTTCACAATTTTCACAGTTTTACAATTCAATTTTAAATTATAAAAATTAAATAAATTAAATCAACATATTAATTACTGATTATTAACATAAGGTTTAACTTGCAACTAAAAATTTAGCTGAGTTAAATCCAATTTAAACCGTTTATAAACCAGTTTACTTAAAATTTTTAGTTAGCTAAAAAATACTAATTTTATTTATAATACAATGCAATAAGTTTTTATCAGCATTGTATTTACTTTATTAAATTTGATGAAGAATCAAGAAGAATTTATTGTCTTACAAAATTTAAGCATTAAAAAATTTAATTAGATGTATAGTATTATTATTTTTATTATTTTTTATTTACGTAAAATTTATATGTTATTTTAAATTCCTTAATAATTCTGTATACATCAATTTTTTATAAAATTATAAAAAAAATAAATCATTTTAAACGACATAAAAAATTTTCTGCAGAATAATAAACTTAATATAACGAAGTTAGCGTCTGGGCTGATCAGACCTTTGTTATAAGAAAATTTGTTATTACTATAATGAATTATTCAGTAGTACAACAAATTATAAATGATTACTGAAAAAGAAAAGTTAATTTTATGATGTCATTTTATAGAATAACCTCTCAGAGGTTAAAGTTAAAGTAATTTTAAAGCAATTTTATTAATGCAATAATCTCAAATGAAACAATTTATAATGATAAATGTAAATTTGTTTTTAAAAGTTCTTATTATTTACTATAATTGAAAATAAAAAAATACCAAATAAAAAAGAAAATTTATTAACGATAGTTCAAATTCAATTAATTAATATAATATTTTTTTATTTACATGAAAAAAAAAAATAAATAAAAAAACAAAAAAAAATAAGAAATTTTTAAAAAAAAGAAAAAAAAACCCTCCATTATAAAATAAAAAAATTAAAAACCTTTTCACCTTCCCTCCCGATAAACCCTTGATAAACCTCCCGATAAAATAAAGAAATAAAAAATATTGAAAACCCCCTGGATAAAAATAAAAAAATTAAAAAAAAACAAAAAAAAATTAAACCCCTCCCCTATACCCTCGCCGTCGATTATAAAATCGTTCCCCATTATACGACTAACTTTCCCTCTTCTCGTACCATTATGCCAATCACAAAAGTCCTAAAGGATACATATTAATTACTTATTAAGTTATATTTATCAACATATTATTATTCATTTATTTACTTACCCTGTAATCTTTCATCAAGTTTTGCCATTTTTCTCGCGACGTTTCGCCAAAATCTTAATTTATTATCATGATAATAATAGTGGTATTCGTGGTTTCTTTTTCTCCTTTCTTCAACCAAGTAATCGGTCTCTGCATCTTTCCAAACGATTCTTGCGGCAGCCATTATTATGATAATTTATTTGTAAAAAATTAAAAATATTAAAATATTATGTAGATTTATTTGAATTAAGAAGAGATTTTTTTTTTAAAAGTTTCAAAAATGAAAAATTAAAGGATGGTAAAATACTTTCCTTTAAAAATAAATTTCATTATTATTGAATCAAAATTCTGATTTGATATCTTGTAAAAAAATCTCTTTATTATTAAATCAAAATTCTGATTTGATATCTCGTGAAAAATCTCTTTATGATTAAATTTAAATTCTGATTCGATATCTTGAATAATACAATAAACTCACAATCGAAATGCTCAAATTCTTTGTGTTCAAAATTCTGATTCAAATTCTAAAAATAATTCAACTGTTGTATTATTTATAAAATTCGATCAACACAAATATAACTTAAGTGAATTTTTTAATACGGCAGATCATATAATTAGAGACAATAATAATTCATCACTTGCATGATAAATATAAATTATTATAAAAAATGATGCCAAAATTTGGTAAAAAAACAATAGGAAATTTCAACACAAGGTCAACAAAAATTGGTTAAAAATTATAAAAAACAATATAAATTTTTCAACACAAGTTTGACACAATTTCAACACTATCACAGGGAGGTGTTATTTAGTAAATTTATGTTCACATAACACTATTTTATTATATCATTACGTTTATTACGTAAAAAAAACTATTAACGTTTTTATGTTAAAAAAAAAATATTATTAACATTATTGATGTTTAAAAAAACCCCCCAAATTATTAACATTTTTACATTAAAAAAAAAAACATTATTATTAATGTTATTGACATTAAAAAAAACCCCTTCTAAATTATTTAATGTATTTACGTTAAAAAAAGAAACATTATTATTAACGTTATTGATGTTAAAAAAAAACTCCTTCCCAAATTAATTAGCATTCAGAAACTTGTCTGATAAGGAATAATATAATATATAATAAAACTAAGAATTAAGATTACCAAAAATGAAAGATAAGAAAAGAAGTTATTATACAATAATTAAGTAATAATTATTTAACTATGATATTATATAGTAATAAATAATGAATACTTAATTATGATGAAAATGATAGAAGGATTATATAGCAAATAATATTAAAAAATTATTATGTAATAGCTAGGCAATAATTATTAAATAGAATACAAACATTATGAAAAAATAAAGTAGTTATTATATAGTTATTGTATAATAATTTAGCTGTAGCATAGAAAGAATATGTTATAAATAGTTTTTGAAAATTATCATATATCAGGAACTTTAGACTCAAAACTTTGATTTTGAATTAAAGTTTAACTCTAAAATCTTAATTTATACAAATTATTTTTAATCTTTTAAATTTATGAATATCATTAAGTGATAAATTTTTTGAAATTACATTAAGTCTTTTATAGTGAAATTATCTTAAGAGTTAGTTTTAAACATAAAAGTTAAAGTTAAAACTATCTCAAGAGTTTCAAGTATAAAGTAATTACTGAAATTATTTCAAAAGTTTTGAAAGCAAAAGTTACTATTAAATTTTTTTTTATATCTTAATGATCTCAAGTATTTAGAGTATAAAAGTTATTGTGAAGTTTATTTAAGCTTAAATAATTATAAAGTTATTTTTAATCATATAAGTTATTTAGCCTTTATACTGATCAACTTGGAAACTTAATTTGTAAATAAACATTTCTGAAAAGCATAACTTATTAATTTAAACAAATCATATATTAAAAAAAATTTAAGGCTTTTCTTCAAAAGTTTAAGCTAAGTTAAATCTAATTTTACTCATTCTAATTAAATATTTTAGTCTGCTTAATTGACAAGTTTAGGTAACAGTATATTTGACAAAATCACTTTAATATCATTTTATATTATTTATGATTTTGAAGCTTTTCTAAGGTTTCTAAGGTAAACAATTTAACACAAATATTTTGATATATTAGAAACAATTCAATTTAATTCCACTTAGAAGACTATATGATATAATAATATTTTTGGCATCTGAATACTTAATAATATCTAAGAAAAATATTAAAGTAATATATAATAAAATTAAAGTAATAAGTGATTAAAACGAATTTTTATAAGTGAATATTTTTATATTACTAATCTGCTTATTTTTTCTGCTATTAGATAAATATAAATTAAAAGAAATTATATTTATTTTATTTTTATTTATTTTTTATTACTTCTTTAGTTTATTATTTTTTATTTTTAGATTTCTTTTCTTTTTATTATATTTTTCTTTTTTATTTAATTTTTTTTTTATATTTCTCTAATTACTCTTTTTTTTTTTCTTTGGTTTTTTCTTTTGCTATTCTTTTTCTATTTTTTTTAATTTTAATTCTACTTAATTCTTCTTTTATTTCACCATAATCTTTATTATCAAAATAATTAAGTATAATTCTAATAATTATAAAATATAATAATAACTTTTGCATAAAAAATTTCATTTAGAAATTCAAAGTTTATAATTGAAATTTTTAGATTTGATTAATCATGATTAATCAATTCTATAATTAAATCTACCTTTTAGAATTAATTCCAATCCCTAGTATAGGATAATGGTATTTTAAATATTTACAAAAAATATGTATATGTATATAATGATATTTTAAAATTATATATTTTTAAATACTTATTTTGAATTAAATTTTTTATTTAAATTTGTTAAATTATACTATCAATAAGATTTTGTACTAATTATTCATTTTCTATTAATATTCCTTATCATTTATATAGTTGACAAATATCGCAAGTTTTTATAAATGTTATTATTTTCCAGTGATGGATAATAAGTATAAAAAAAAATGATTACTAATACATGGGTAAAATACCAGATATGTAAAAAGATTAATATTATATTTTTTTTATTTAAAAAAAAAATATTTGAAGTAAATAATTTTACTTTTTGATTAAATCACAAAACTCCTTTCATATGATTATTATTACGCAACAAAAACAAATTTTTTTTTTGTATCAATAGATAGTAAATAATGTCTATTTCAAACCAAAAAAAAAAAAATAAATAAATAAATAAAATAATATAAATAAAAAATAGAATAAATATTTATAACAAATAAGGTTAATTGTTTAATACAAATACAAAAACTAAAGAAAAGGGAGGAAATGTTATTTATAAGTATCCGTCAAAATGACGGTTATAGATTAATTATACTTTGTAAGATAGATAGATGTAGTAATTTTTTTTTGTATTCGTAAAGTATTGATTATTTTTAATGAAATATTTGACAAATTTATCCGGCACGTTCGTGACTTCATTCTACACAAAGATTCTTTATTATGATATTGTCTCATTTTTTTTTTTCGTCTTTTAAATGATTTGCAACTATATAATAAATGAAGGTTGAATTATATTGAAAAGCAATGAAAAAACCCTAAAGAAATTTGGTTTTGTACTTACATAATTACTAGGAGCTATACCGATTGAACCATCGGCTTTTTTTGCTTGCCACCATTTACCCTTATTGTCAGCAATATCAAGAATTTCTCCCTTGCCAAATGAAAGCTCATTTTGATCGTCTGGATTTGCTTGGTCTATTAAATAATAAAATAAATAAATAAATGCTTAACGAGCATATTCCTCATAATATTTGTAAAAAATATTCCTTTCAAACCCTAGATGATCTATTTCATATATCATTTGATCTTATTACATGTCAATAAACTTACAGTCATATAAAGCCTTTGCCTTGTAAGCATAATCAGCATTTGGAGTAACAACAACAGTATTATTTATGTGTGGTTCCTGTATGGAAGTTGGTACCATTGCAATCCCTGGACTTATTGGACCAGATTGTGAAAAACTATGAGCTGCATGTGTTGTATTTCTGTCAACTTTGTTAATTGCCAATGAATTTATGCTGTTTACTATAATGGACCCATCCTCGGATCCAAAACTCAATATCCACACAAACTTTAATTATCGAAAAAAGTTAATTACTAAGCTTTATCCTTAATTTATTAGAAACAAAATAAAAAAAAAATATATATATATATTTTTTATTCTAAATACCGTCACAAGAGAAAGGAAAATTGCACCCGCCGCGACTGCTTGATCTTCAGGATTGTCAGAATTAATTTTCTCGTTGACCAAAGCAACTATGAAGACGAGACTAGCGCCCAGAAATGTTAAAATCTAAAAATAATGAAATAGTTAAGGATGAATATAATCTTGCACAAAAATTATTGCGGTACAACATGGACTAATGAATTCGGACAATCACAGCATATATGCAGCAGTGTATTGGCGGTGTAACAAATTTAAAAAAGATACGGAAAAGCGATAATATTTGATAGAGTCTGTTGCAATGGCAGCAGCAATACCCAAAATGAGAAATAATTCGAAAATTATATAGAACCAGTTAACTCCTGTTTTACCAGCTGCGGCAGAACCAGCAAATGTAATGATCCAACCAATCTAAAAGAATCGAAAATAAAATATTATTAATTGAAGCGACTTTTTATTATTTTAAAAAAATATAAAAAAGAGAAAAAAAATATATAATTTACCAAGGATAACCCTAATGTAGCCAGGTAAAAGGGATTACCAGCGATTAAGGAAAATTCGATTGGTGCCATATTGTGGAATTCTTCTTTTCGAGAAACTTAATAGAAACAACTTTCTTTCGATATAATAAGGGAATAAAAGATTTGGAGTCGTTACAAGGGGAAGCAAAAGGAAAGTATTAAAAACAAGGAGAAGACAGCCTTGTATGAGTTAGTCGAATAGGAAAACTGCAGGTAGAATATGCAGATAAATAGATACGTGAAGAAACGAGTCTGCGATGACTAACTGAACAAAAATTATAAAAGAAAAATGGTCAAATGAAAAAAAAGTTAGTTTAAAAACGTTTGTTTATATGCGGTCTATTGCCTATATTAAATTCAAGTCATGGAATGATTACTATTAAAGGAAAAGCATGATAGAATTTCTTATATTGTTGACTACTTTTAGGACTCATAGAATAATTGTATATGCGCAGTTCATCAATTAATATCCGTAATTGAAAATAAATCATCTCGGGACAAATATATATTTATGCATGAAGAAATAGAAAATAAAATAAAATAAAATAAAATAAACTTCAAAAAGAAAAAACTTTCTCTTACTTGTTAGCAATACGTATAAGGAGGAAATTATATTATAATAATATTAGTAACATAAAATTATTCACAATTTAAATACTAGCATCACAACAGGTTCAAAAGTGCACAAAAATGCTAAATCTAATAGGACGAATTAACAGCGTAACTCAAGAAATTAAATTTCGTTTTAGAGAAAATTTGAATTTGAAATACAAAAAGATATCACGACATCGGGTTTATTTATATATTTGATTTTATTTTAAATATATTCATGTATCACAATAAATTCGCGGCACAGCCTTTATCCGATACCTTAATTCGTTCAAATAAAGCTTAAAAATGATCATTATTTGAAAACTTACATTCGAAATTTCATTTCAATTATTGGCACTTTTTATTTTTTGTACTAAAAAAGAAATACCAAAGGTTATGTTATCAGGCTATCATGAATTCTTTTCAGAAAAACATATTTAGAACTTTCGAAAACATCACAATGGATAGAAAATCTTTTGTGAAAATTCCATTTATGAAATCAAATATTTTCAGCCAATTTTACCGCAGAAATTAAATCGTCCGATCTATTTATGTGTTTCACGTGATTAATGATCAATTTTGATCTACAAATACTGACAACAATGAACAAACTTCTTTGCACGGGCAATGACTAAATAGTAAGTACGTAACAAATATTGCGCGGGGAAGTGACCGTATTCGCGAATTCGTTAACAGTAGTGGTAAAAATGATCGTTACCCTTTGACAAGTTCTTTTTTTTTTTTTTTTTGTAAAATTCTAGATATTACATCCAATCATGAGTCAAATTACACAGGCAATTTTAGGGGTACTTCAAAGTCATGGAATTTGTACAGATATTTTGAATCAATCAACATTGTCAGGAGGTTGCATTAACGATGCGTTTAAATTGTCCACAGATACGGGTGATGTGTTTGTAAAGACAAGCAGCGGGGTGAATGCTCGTGCGATGTTTGAAGGTAAGAATCGTTTGGCACATTTTTAGTATAACGAAGAATTTATTCAAATAAAAATGTTTTTATTTTAGGCGAAATTGAGTCCTTGAATGCGATACTTGTAACGGTTCCAGGATTTGCACCAAAGCCTCTATGCCTTGGAGCATTGCCTAATGGAGGTGCATTTATCGTTACAACATATAAACGACTTTCGACATCATATTCATCATCTACGCAAAAATTGTTTGCTCAAAAATTATCTGAATTGCATTCTAAAGAGTCCCCAAATGGTAAATTCGGATTTCCAGTGATGACGACGTGTGGCCCTACAGAACAAGATAATACATGGGAAGATACCTGGGCAGATTTCTATAAAAGACGAAGATTAAGACCTATATTGGAAAAATGTTTACAAAATAATCCAGGAGATAACGAATTACGCAGGCTTGGCGAAATAGTTATAGACAAGGTTGTTGATTTTTTAATGAAAGATATTGAAGTGAAGCCTGTATTAGTTCATGGTGATTTATGGAGCGGGAATTGGAGCGTTGATTCCGATGCCAACGAACCCATCATTTATGATCCTTCGTCTTGTTACGGTCATAATGAATATGAATTAAGTATTCTAACTATGTTTGGAAGTCCTGGAAGTGGTATTGTAATCTATTATTTATATGTACATGCACATATTATTTTATCTCTAATTATTGTTTTTAAGAATAAAATTTCTTGATTTTGTTTAAAAAGAATTCTTTCGAGAGTATCACAAACATCATCCGCGTCAGGAACCTTACTTCGAACAAAGACAAGGTATGAATTTAATATTTATATTTATTTCATTTGATGATATATTTGTCTTTTGTTTAATGATATCCATTATTTTAATATTAATCAGAGTTATATAAACTTTACCATTATTTGAACCATTACTATTTGTTTGGTGGAGGATATCAACGAAGTGCTGTCTCTATCATGCAGAGATTATGTGGCTTAGTAAATTAAAGATTTTTTTTTATTACGGCCAGCTTTATAAGAAAGTACAAGGATGCAACTGTAATTCGCTTATGCTAGGCGATAATCCAAATAAATCAATAAACCACAATAAAGGAAATTACGTCGCGGACGTAACATTAAATTCTGTCTTAATCGTCACAGTTGTGTGACGACTGGAAACAAAAAAGAACAATACAACAACGCTTTAATTAGTACAAATAAATAAATTATCTAAAGATTTACAAGTTATGTTAACCTAAAATTTATTTTTAGAAATCAAAATAATATCATTCCCCTTTTTTTTACAATAAATTTAAGATATCTTGATTTACAATACTTTCATTACCCACAAGCGAATGTTCACTATCACTTCCTTAATGGATGATGTTTATCAATTCTTTGGTATTATTTATTTATTTATTTAAGAATTCTTAATTTGTTAGTATTATAATGATGTGTTTAATATTATATATATATAAAAATATTAAAATATTAAAAGTGATAACAATGACATTCTAAAAATTCCTGAAATTCTGAAATCCAATACCGTTCTAAAATATACCAACGGTGATGTTTTCCGTATTATGAACTCGTTCTATATAATCAATTTTTACATCGTAACACGAATACTTATAATTATTACACGACAATTACAACATCATTCACAATTAGATATTGGACATCATTCCACACAAGTTTAGAATACAGGCACATCATTTATTCACTTTTTCGAAAAATTCTCTTACACAAAATCCAATAAATCTAACTTTAATTCTTTTTTTTTCTTTGTCCATTAAAAAAAAAATTGATTTGATACACGAAATACAAAAATCCAACATAGTACAATCAATCAAAATCAAAAATCGCTTTAAAAAAATTTTTTTTTTAAATTGCACCTCCGGTAGAATATACCAAATATCGTAATCTTTTTTTTTTTTTCATTCATTTGTTTATTTTATTTATATCATACACCCCCCAAAAGCTTTCATATTCGTAACACAGTTTGCTTAGACATTTAATCCAAACTTGATTTAGTCCAATTCTGAAATAAATAAACCTCTAACAAGTTAAAGGGGGAGGATGTCGCAGAAAATAATACAAATGACAAATGGAAACCTTTTTTAATTGTTATTAGATGGAAAGAAAAGCATAAGGATAAGAAAGAATGGTGATTTGTATGGTCAAAGTATTATCTACTAATAGTAGTTCAGAATGTTTTATTCATTCGATAATGAAAAATGGTTCTAACTCATTAAAGAGGTAGCCACAAATGTACATGTACCGATTAGGTAATCTGGCGGAACTATCACATATTTCATATAAAAACAATGGGATCACATGATTTTTTTTTGATTTTTTATTTTTTTTATAAATTTACTCATATAACCTGTCCAAACCAACGCGTTTCCTTAATAAATACTGCCCTCTTTTTTTTTTCGTGGAACTCAAAAGTCCCACGAAAAAAAAAAAATTTGAACTCTTTATTATAAAGACCATCAACATTATTATTATAAATAATTTCCCGCCACAAAAAAAAAAAATCCCATCTACCGACTGTGAACGACTTTCATATAGATTATAAAATAATATATTCATCATTATATGATTCAAGCATTCTTTTAATTATCAAAGCAAAAAAAAATTTTTTACAAAAAATTTTTTTCCTCTTCAAATTCTTTTTTTTTTTATCTGTCTAATATAGTATATTTTTTTACTTATGGCTCCTCGTCAAGACGGAATGTATCCCCTTGTATTTGGTCATTCGACTGCTCGTCTGACTTCAACTAAAGGAGGGCAATATAGTTATGGTGGTGGCTGCGGTGGTTTAGAAGGTGGCATCAGAGGTTTTAGAGGTGTTTCTTATTCTTACATACAAAGCGACGTCCCTTTAAGTATAAACTTTGAGCCAAAGAAAAAGTCCATCTTAAATCCAATGATTTCGAATCAAAAACGTAAGCGAAATAAACGTAGAGCCAGGTTAAACTTGACCCAACGTGTTACCACAAAGGAACGAAAACATAAAGTAAGTTTCCTTAACGAACCTTTTTGTTAAAACTGATTTAATGTTTTAATTACGTCTACGTGTTCGGGGCTAATATCTTGTCGTCACACTTTCATAGGGATCTCTTCAGGAAAGAGATGAAATAAGAGCTTTGAAAAACGAAGCCATCTTTTATGAATTACAATGTCAAATTATTCAAGTCAAATCCAGAGAATGTATTTAATCGAACTTTATTTTCATTTCAAATCTTCTAGTTGCCATCATCATCATTTTTATATCATTTTACTAAATCATTCTTTAAATTTTAATCCAATAAAGTACAACGCATTCTTCATGAACAGGATGAAGAGATCCTTCGAAAAGAAAAAGAGGTGAGGGATCTAAGGTCAATTGAGAGGATGTTAATAAAATTCCTCGAAGAAACTGAGAATCAACCAGCAGATATACAACAGACCTTACCAAATAATTTAAAAATTGCCGCTGCTCCTTCTGCATTCAGAGTAAGTATTTAAGATTCAAAATTTTTTGTTCTTAAAAAGTGAATTGATTAATAATCTTTTTCTTTATCTCTTTAACGTAGGACAATATATACAGGATATATGTATTGTGCGCTGCTTTATTATCTTTCCTCTTAGTTCGAGTTGTTTCTCATGGTTCCATCGTGGTTAATCGTGTGTGAAATTCTTTTTTGAGTTTCTAGAATAAAATCATGTACCTCCATCCTAATATCACCACTACAGCATTTTCATACAACACGTATTTACTTGTATATCAATGTGCTGTGCTTTATAAACTATATATCAGAGGTGTCGTACCGTTTATATTAATTCATAATATATATATATACACAACCTGGTGCGCATGTTGGTGTTCATATTATTCAATACAACATCAATCATCTCTGAAAACATCCATTTACATATATACATATATATATATTAGATAATTTTTTCTTGTTTCTTGTTATTTCAATTAGCGGATGTTAATATTATAGTCTTTCTTATGGAAAAGGGAAAAAAATATATACCTTTGGCCTTAGATTTGTCCTTTTAATCGGTCAATTTTATGTTATGTTTATAATCCTTTTTTTTTTCTTTTTTTCTCACATTCGCATAAAAAAAAAAAACAAAAAAAAAAACAAAAAACAAAAACTTAACAAAAACATTATTTGAAAATAATAATATTAAAGAGTTAAATGACCAAAAATTTATGAAATATCTTTTTTTCTCAAAATTTATATTATTATTATCATTATTTATTATTATTTTACAATGATTTTTGCTACATTGATGATTTAAATATTAATGGATAGCATTAATTCTGTTAAACGAAAATACCATTAACTTTTAGTGTTGAACGCGTTTTCCTGAAGTTTCCTCGACATCGTCGTTTGATAATGATCTCTTTAATTTGGAAAATCCCGGCTCCCAGCCTTCCATTTTTAATTTTTCTAATTGATATTTAGTTTCCAATGTTGTATAACGTACTTGTAGATCCTGCAAGTTGGAGGGTAATTTTATATCCTCGATAGAATTTTGAAACAAAATTGGATTCAAATATATATAATCTAAAAATTATCGGAAAATAATTAAATTATTCTTTTCATCGAATGATTTGTAAACTTTTTTTCTTCCTTAAATTACCAGGTTTGATCTTGTATAATGCTTTGACAACGTCAACGACGAGATTTAAATCAAACATGATAGGGTTCTCCAATATCATACTAAAAACATAAATTATGCGCATCTCCGATTTTTCCGTAATTATTTTTTGAAAGTAAAAAATCAATAAATCTCGCAGATTTTGACGAAGTGTGCATTGAATATAAGTTTTATCCTAATGAGGAGCAATATGTATAAGAAAATACCCTTTCAAGAAATATATATATATATATATTATATATATGTATGCATTATATATATTATAACGTACCAAATAAGCAAATACACTGCCTAGGATCTCGGTGGCTTTGGCGTGATTAATGGATATTTTTGCAAAACTATGAAACCAAATATCCAGCTGTTGTATATTATCTAATTGACTACTAAGTAAGTGAAGAGTTTCTTCAATACTTGAGGTCAAATCTGAAAAAAGTCTTTTATGGAGTCCTTGCCAACACATCCAATATATACTCCTAAGAATAAAAATAATTGATTAATTGTTAGATAAAGATCAAATATACATATTTCAAGGAACCTGTAAAGTTCTTCATGTGAATATGTATGCAACGGTCTTTCGGCCTGAAGATCGGCTCGTAATGCATGACGAACAAAGTCTGAAATTTGAGGCCAAAATGTGGACTCGTAAGTACATTCTGTAATTGGAACTAAAGGGTTTGGTCATGTTAAACTTAAGATTTAGAGGAAAATTTACAAACACAAAGTTTTAAGTCACCAGGATTCATGCTGAAGTTTGAAATAGAATTTCTTTGTGTTCACCTTTATTCATTGCAATTTCCATCGAAAACCTTTATAAAGAAAAAAAATATTGAAAACAATACGCGCGAAAACCAACTAATAAACTAGTAATTAGTACATAGTAATTAAGGCACGTGGTTTGTTACATCATCTATTATCACGTGCTTGATTTGCTGCGTGATAAATTTAATTTCCTCGACTTCCTTGTAAAATAAAGAAAAATGTTATGTTTAAATAAGATGTTAAATGCTATTATGATTTTCATATGTACAAAATTTTTTGACAATCAACAAAGAAATAAATATTTAGTAAATCTGGTTCATAACAAATTCATAGATAAAATACTTTAAATGCTAATACTAATAAATGCTAACGCTTTTATTATAAACCATATCAAAAGGTTTAGCAATGCAAAGACTATGTCTAATTCGGCAATTGTATTCGCGCGTGTTCAACATTTCTAATTTTTATTTTATAGTTGGGAATATCGTTTTTTTTTATAATTGATTTACATGTTTAACAAAATTTAAAAAATATAAATTAAACTAGTCGGATGCAATTATTTAACGGAAGATGGTAAACGCGGAAAATTAGATACCCATGAAGCAAAAGTCTCGGGAATCAATCGTTTGATCCCAGGAAGGCAAATCAAGAAAATAAGTATATATATGTGTAACTCGGTTTATTTACTTTCTCCTTAATTTTTTTTTCTCCTAAAAAAAAAATTCTTTAATAAAAATCCTTCGCGATTTTTTTTGTATTTACTTTTGCTCTTGTTTTCTTTTTAGGATTTTTTTACGTAAGTTTTTTTTTTCTTTTTAATTCGTATTAAATTAGATTAAACTTGATATATTTACCATATGATAATATGATATAAATAAAATTTAATACAAGTTTATCTCCTTTTCTAAATAAAAATACATGTTTTACTATAGAAAAATGAGTAAATTTTATGTATATTTGTGTGCAGCACTTTCTGCTATTGGTAATGGATTGATAATTTTATTTTATTTTATTTATTTCCTCTCGATAAAAGGTTAAAAATATCAATTTTTTTTTAATTTTGATGTAGGGGGGTTACTTTTTGGATATGATATCGGTAAGTGGGATTCCCTTTTTAATATTTTTGCAGTTTTTTTTTTTAAATTTTTATTTTTATTTTTAAAAAATAAAATTGACATTACATGAAAAAATATATGAATCCGACGATCATATTTTTTTAGGCGTTATATCTGGAATTCTTACGATGAAACATTTTCGTGAAGAATTTCCTACTGGACCTGTAAAAGAAGGAACAATCGTATCATCGCTTTTGGCAGGATGTTTTTTTGGTATATTAAAATTATAATTCGTGAGGCGCAGTACGTCAACGATTTTTATGAACAACTATTTCATTAATAGGCGCACTCATATCGGGATATTTTGCTGATAAAATCGGTAGAAGGTTCTCGATTCTAGGAGGATCTCTTGTGTTTATTGTAGGTAGTATTTTACAAGCAACAGCTACAACTTTTGTTCAATTGTATTTTGGAAGAATCATTGCTGGTCTTTCAATTGGGTAAGTGATACATGGTTTTTACGTAATAATCTTACATATTGGTTACGCATGTAATTATCATTTATAAAAATTATATTTTTTGCACGTTTATTTTTAGTAATCTTTCTATGATCGTACCTCTGGTAAGTAAATTGAATTAATAATAATTGCTCATTCCGAATATAAATAAATAACAAGATCCTCATAAAAATACAAAAAGTATCAATCTGAAATTAGCCCAAAAGAGATTCGTGGCCGTTTGGTTTCTCTTCAACAGTGGTCGATTACTATAGGGTAAATTAAGTAGTATATGGAAGCATTGCCAGTAAAATCACATTACAGATCATATGACTTACTATGTCTCATGACTTGATTTTACTGGTAAACGTTCCCATATATCTTTACTACATACTGTGTATATATATATATATTATATATATATAAATATATATATATTTTTGTTGAATTCTCGATTTTTTACCCTTTTATTCTATTCTATTTTATCTTTTAAGGATTGCAATTTCATTTTGGATCGATTATTTTACAGAAAAAATTGATTCACCTGCACAATGGAGAATTCCACTATGGATTCAGATTGTTCCGGCATTAATTCTTGGTAATGATATTATGGTTTTTGCATTACTATTAATTCTTTTTTACTTATCGTAAAATTATCTTAAAGTACATAATTCATGAAAATGTTATTTTTTTTCCTTGTTATCATTTTCTCATTTAAAAGCTGTCGGGACGATTTTCCTTCCATTTTCACCACGTTGGTTAATGGATCACGATCGTGAGGAAGAAGCAATAGTAGTATTAGCAAACTTACGAGCTGGAGGAGATAAAAGTGCGGCAATTGTACAAGAAGAATACTTGGAAATCAAAGATAATGTTCGCTTCGAACGAGAGTTTGCGGCAAAAAATTATTTTGAGTTGGTTAAAAGAGGTCCTGAGAATATTCGTAAAAGAATGCTATTGGGAGTTTTTATTCAGATTTTTCAACAATTGACTGGAATTAATGCTATCATGGTAAAATTTCAAATTAAAATGAATTTTTTAAATAATTTGTATGGACAAACATGTATTTACACTTTGTGAAATAATAATTTTGTAGTACTATGCACCTCTAATTTTTCATAATGCTGGAATTACATCCAATTCATCCAGCCTTCTCGCTACAGGAATTAATGGTAAGAATACATTTTTATAATATACGTTAATGAAGTGTATTTTTCGATTAAATTTATTTATTTTTTTTTTTATAGGTCTTGTAAATATGTTATCCACAATCCCTGCAATACTTTGGATTGATCGTTGGGGACGTAGACCAACTCTGTAAGTTATAAATTTGTTTTTTTTTTTTAAAAAAAATTTGGGGGGTTTTTGTCCATCTACTAATTAACAGGACTTAATATTTTCGCTTCAGAATTTCTGGAGGCACGTTTATGGGAATATCAATGTTAATTGTAGGATGCATATTAGCGATAAACGGAACAAAATATTATGATACTGAGTTAGATAAAAATTTCGTACAATTAAAGAATACATCAAGTTCTTACGCTATTATTGTTTTCATATACATTTTCGTGGCTAGTTTTGCCTATTCTTGGGGTCCGGTAAATATTTATTGAAAAATTAAAAAATATTCATTTAAAGTTGCGAATATAAGATAAATTCCGATTATTGATTAAATATTGTTTGTTGTCATTCGTAGACCGGATGGATCTACCCCGCTGAAATTTATCCTTTACGGTAAACGTTATCGATATATTGCATATTATTTTAAGCGCATTATTTTTATTTTGTATTAATAAGTTATAAAATTTATCAGTATTCGAGGTAAAGCAATGTCTGTCACAACAGCTTCTAACTGGTTATTTAATTTTGTTATTGGACAAATTGTTCCGTATTTGTTAGATAGGTAAATATTTAGATATTAAAATACATTACTTTTTTTTATCATCTATTATTTTTATTTTTTTTCACTCAATTTAATGTTTTATTTTTCGTTACACAAATTAGTATTACATGGGGGTAAGAATCTCTATTGTTTTTATTATCGCTTCTTTTTAATTCCAACAATTCAATAATCCTTATGACGTTTCCCACTTTTTCTTTATAAGCACATATATAATCTTTGGAGTTTTCGGTATAATCATGGCAGTATCTGTTTTAATCTTTTATCCAGAAACAAAAGGCAAATCATTAGAGGAGATGGATGGTCTATTTGGTAAAACGCATCCACGTTCAATAAATCAACATCGCCCACCGTCTTCATTAGGTGACTTGGAACATGGAGAGCCTGTAGTAGAGAAAGAAACTAGTTTATCTACTTCTCCTGCTGAAATTAATGTAGTTGAGTCTTCAGAAATGAGACAACCGGAAACTTAAAAAGAAGAGTCGGCAATTACTGATGCTTCCGGTTAATCTCAATGGAAAATAATACACCTGAAAAGATTTCGGAGCGATAAAATTTTTTTCTCTCGTTTTTTTTCATTTTAACCATTTTTGTTTTTCATATTATTTTTTTTTTACCAATAAATAATGAAATAATATGTGTTCCAATTGATTTTAATACATACCAATACTTTTTATATGCGTATCAAACTAGCTTGTCTTTTTTCGGTCAATGAAGGTGATCGACGAGGTTTCGGTCGACAATCCTTGCTCCTAATTAAGACTATTAAGATAATTGGGTTAGTACGTCCGAAAATCTGGGGTGATTTCCTCGATTTGTGTAAGTATTAACCCCAGATTTTATTTTGTTAATCAGCTAATCTGTTATTCTCTCAAAATGAAAAATTAATTAAGAAGATTCTAACCCAAACAAACGACTATACTTTTTACATATTAAAAAATAATTAAATAAAGATAATAATATTTTTTTCAACCATTTTTATCTTGCCAAAATATATTAAAAATAAAAGTACCTATAAAATAAGAAAGATTAATAATTAAAAAAATAAACCCTTTTAATAAATATAAATAAAAAGATATAATACTTATTTTATCAAATAGTTATATATAAATAATCTTTTAATCTCTTATCATAATTAAATAATTCTTATTTAATATAATGATTAGTTTTTTTTATTTTTTATTTACATTTTTTATTTTAAATTATATCAAATTAAAAATTTAACATTTAATTTTTATAAAAAATTATTAATAATTAAACTTTTTATATAAATATTTATTTCATGTCACTTGATATCAATTTTCTGACTACAATAATATAATTAGCATGTGATTAATTATTTTAACTATTTATAAATATTTTTCCTTTTTTTTTATTTTACAAAAAAAAATGTCAACTTATGATTCATTTCATCAATAAAAAAGAAATTTTAAAATTACAATAAGCATCAAAAAATATAAATATAGATAAATCAAAAAATACATATATTTATGAAATTTCATAAATATCATAAATATATTCAAATAAAATTGTTAATTAAATGATAAAACATTATCAGATCAATTAGAATAATTTTTAATAATTGTAAGAAAATCTAATGGCCAAGAATATAAACTATCATCACTTTATATTGAATTTTATGTTTTAGCATAAGAAGCATTTGAAAAAATTAGATTTGAAAATATTGTAAATATGTTTGATAATTACTGATTTTAAAAATTATATAAAACTTTAGATGTTTGAATAAAATTAATTACTAATCAAGAAAATAAAAATCATAAGCAATTAGATTCTTTAAAAATCAATGAAATTAAATTTATATTTAATTCAAAAATTATTGCAATTGATATTTTTAAAGGATTTTTATAAAAAGTATGGATTTGTTTAACTTTATTATGCTGTTTAAGAAATAATAATACTAAAAGATTTAAAGTTTCTTAAATAAATAAAATGTATGATAGTGGAATATAACTTGAATTAATAAACAAAAAATCATGCAAGAGAAATTAAAGATTCATATGTTACATCTGGTATTAATTTTATATTACCTAACACTTTAGAAAATATTTATATTCCTATTACAGATATTAAAAAATATCTATCTAGATATCCTAAAATGTTAAAGATAATTAATTTTTATTTTAATTAATATTTTCAAAAATATATATTACTATAAATAGTATTTAATAATAAATTAGGAAAGGGTTCACATAATAAAATGATGTATAATATATATAATATTGTTGGATTAAATTTTAAAGATCAAAATATTAGCAATCATTTAATGCAATTAATAAGTATTCATAATTTTGTAGAATCTGATATTACACTTAATGAATAAATGATATTTTTTTGACATAAAATAATAACAGATGTATTAGCCTATTAACATCAATCTATTAAAGTAAAAGAGATAATGCTTCTCTTTTAATTCCTATAGAAAAAGCAGGTAAGTTTCTATATATATTTAAAATTTATTATTAAAAATTATTTATTATGCTTATTTTTAAGCTTTTTAGTATAAATGATTTATCTAATTATATTAATAAATTAGAAATGTTAAATTTTTTATTTAAAATTACTATTTTTATCAAAACTAATACATTTTTATAGGATTTTTAAATGTATATAATTTGATCTTTTTTTAAGTGAATAACAATATGAAAAAACTAGTATTGTTGAAGAAAAATTCTGAAGAAGAAAAATTAAAATTTAAAAAATTTAAAATTAACAAGATTTTGATGAAAATTTTAGTAATACTAATATCAATATTATATTTAAATATGATTAATACCTTTTTTTATATAGAAATTATAATAGAATAAATATACAGTCAACCCTTGATATAACGAATTTTATGTCCTGAACTTCAACTTCGCTATAGAGCTATAGTGAATT